ATGAGTCCCAAACTATAATTCCACTTACTTTCTTCAATGCTGTGTAGCCTATTTTTTTTTTATCCCCACTTTACCAAAAAGGAAATAGATAGGGAACTAAGTCCCATAGTTCACTCTGGTCCCATGGACAGAAAGAAAGAGGTAATCCTTGTTTGAAATACTTTTGAACATTTTAATGGTCCTTAACAGGTCTGCTGACTCTGACCTCTGTCATTACCCTTGGCTCCATCATCATGATTAATATGTTCTCCCAGTAATACAGGAACTCTACTTAATGGGCCTGGCAATTCAGAAAAGAATAAATGTACATCACTAACAAATTTCCGTGGCACAAGCAGTGGCAAAGAAATGCAAACTATAATAACAAAACTCCATTTGTAGTTCGTAGAATCACAAGTGTTTTTTGTTACAAGCTGTTCCATGCTGGTAAGGGTGTGACAAATTGGTAAAGAAGGAGTTATCCGCTGGTGGACATGTAAAATGCTGCAAATTTATTGCAATATTGGTATTGCAACTACTGCAATATTTAGAGCCCTAAAGTGCTTCTGTATGCTATTCAATAATTTCTACTCTATAACTCCATTCTAAGGAAATACTCTTAAAGATAAAAAAAAAAAAATTTTTAGGCCCAAAAGCATGTACTATTGGAGTTGGCCACAACCTGAATTCTACATTAGAGAATACAAGAACCAAATCATTCTCTTCATTACTTTTTGCTGACAAAGGCTAGTAAAAAACAATATCCATGTGTGAAAGAATGAAACTGGGCTTAGATCACACAAAAACATCAATTCAAAATGCATTAAAGATGTAAGACTTTTAGCCCTCCCTGGTGGCACAGCGGGTTAGAGAACAGCACTAAGAAGCTTAAGCCATTTATTTCCGCAAGAGTTCGATCCCCGCCTGCTCCGGAGGTGACCACATGGCGTGGCAGACCTCTCCTGACCCGCCCGCTGCTCCCCTCAGCAGTGTACTTCGTTAATCTGCCTGTTCTGCTCCCCGCTCTGTCTCTGGTGAATCCTCTCACCCTACGCATCTCTGGCCTGTACCCCAGTTCTGTATAAATAAATAAATAAATCTTAAAAAAAAAAAAAAAGATGTAAGACTTTCAGCTACAAAACTCCTAGAAGAAAACACAGAGAAAAAAAACTCCCTAACATTGGTCTTAGCAAAAATTTATTGGATGACACCAAAAACACAGGCAATGCAACAAAACAAAAATAAACAAGTGGGAATACATCAAAACCAAAATCTTCTACCTGGCAAAGGAAGCAGTAAGACAGTGCAAATAGAATCTATGCATAGGGAGAAAATATTTGCTAACCATCTCTTTGATAAGGGTTAATATCCATAATATGTAAGGAACTCCTACAATTCAATAGAAAAATAAATAAATAAAACAACCTGAGTGAAAAATGGACAAAGGACACCAAGAGCCATTTTTCCAAGGGAAACTTCAGGTACCTGAAAAGAGAGCTAGTGAACTGTCCTCCCTCAACACCACTAATAACCAGGGCAATACAAATCGAATGAACAATGAGATACCACCTCACACTTTAGGATTTTAAATTAAAAAAAAAAAAAGAGAATTCAAGAAGCATTAGCAAGGAAGAGGGAAAGCTGGAATCATTGTGCACTGTTAATAGAAATGAAAAATAAGACCACTACAGTGAAAAACCATATGGAAGTTCTTCAAAAAAAATCTAAGAGTACTACTACATTGTCTTGCACTCGCACCTCTAGGTATACATTCAAAAGAACTGAAAATCGGATTTGGAAGAGATATTTGCTTAACCATGTTAACTACAACATTATTTGCCATAAATAAGAAACAGAAACAACCTAAATTTCCATGAAAGTAGTGGATGAAGAAAATCAGTGTGCATACACACACACACACACACACACACACACACATATATACATATACATATATATGTATATTATTGTCTGTAAAAAGAAGCAAGTCCTATCCTATGCTACAATACAGACAAGCATAGAGGACATTAAACGAAGTGAAATAAGCAGTCATAGAAGGACAAACACTACAGGATTCGACACATTCGAGATAACTAAAGCAGTTAAACTCAAAAGCGCAAAGCAGGATGTAGGCCACTTAACCCCTGCAAGCCTGCAGGGCCCATATCAATGTACTAAAGGTAATAATATGAGACTCTTCACAATGGTGCTATGAAAAATACATGAGATGATGTATATAGTTCAGTCACCACTGTGCTTGGCACATAGTAAATATTCAGTAGAAATCAGTAATTATCATACATAAAGTCATTATGAGGAGCAATTCAAACTGAAGTTCTGAAGGTATCCTAAATGACCTTTTAAAAATCAAATTGTACTGGTTTACCATTTATTAATATAATTATATTATTTCAAGAAAGTGGCTTCATACATCAACATGTGTATATTCTTCACTCCCTACCACCCAAGTTCTAGTGCCTTTACATTATCACACTGGTACTCTATATACTTTTTCTTCCTACCCACCTTCTCTTTGCACTATGGAGGCAAATATGTTTTTCAGAGTCTAGGAGTTATTTTTGTTGTTTTTGCCAGTTTGTTTTCTTTGATTATTGACATTCCACAAATTAGTGAAAACACTGAGTTTTTAACTTCTACTTTTCAACTTATTTCACTTAGCATAATAATTGCAAGTCCCATCCACACTGTGGCTGAAAGCAATTTTCAATAAATTAGTAGTATTCCACTGAATATGTATACCACAGTTTCTTTATCTAGTCACCTACATGAATGTTAGTGTTCCTTCCTACACTGACTGTGTAATACTTTATATCCCTTATTGCTATCTCATTAAAATTATGGCTATTCTCTGCTTGAGTAGGCACTGTGTGTATGAATAGGCAACTGTGTTTTATGTGTGTTTACTCAGTTTTAGCAAGTAGTTCAATACATATCAGAACATACATAAAAGATGCCTGGTACATAATACACAGGTACCAGAGATTTGTGATTAATTGTGAAAGTAGGAAGCCATTCACTCACAAGGGTTTTTTCCTAGGAAATAGGGGAAAGAATACAGATGAAGAAGATCTGTAAACCAGCGTCTCCCTCAGTATAATCACAAATGAAGGAAAGTGATGGAAAATCAGTTTCCCAATGACCGCTATCATCTCTCAACTTTATGGTTACTAAATAAAGGAAAGTTAAATATTTCAAAAATAGAAAAATTCTATTTTTTTTTTCAGTAAATACTAGTTGACTGAGTCAAATTCATCCATGGGCGTCTTACACTATGACTTTTAATATTCTACTAGAGGTTCAAACAACTATTTAGGACAATTATAATAGAATTAAATAACAGATTTAATCTAACTCTCTACTGAACAATATTATACCAGTTTTGGGTATACCTGGAAAAGTTAAGAGCTGGATACCAGACTTGAGGGACCTCTAACAATTTAAATATCAACAATTTTAATAATTTGAATGTTTTCAAAGAGGTTTATATTATCTTAGCTAATCATAGAAGATTTATAATGTTTATATTTCTATCTTCATTTGAAGGAAAAGGGAAAACTTTGAGATGGTAAGCCCACAAATTCATAGCTAAAGTGTATTCTACTGATACATCTCTATAAACAAATGATAGAGCTAAAACCTGAATCCAAATTTTAGTTGCAGAATCTACGACTCTAACAATAGACTTTAAGAATCTATTGGCTAACAGTACATCTAAAAGAACTTTATTTATGCTTATAGAAAAGTTCTATAGCTGACAATGGCATCCAATAAATACTAACTGTTGACTTAAGCTCAGTATAATTCAGGATATTTTCATGATACTTTAATCAAATTTAACTGAACATTTTCACTTAATAAAAAATGTATTAAATAGGAGATAGATGTCACACTATCCCTTAAAATATATAAGTCTACACATTATGTTGGTTATTATCCACCAGAACTAAATATACCCTGGATAAATATATCCTTCTGTAAATGTGGTATTGTGCACCACTCTTCAATCTCCTGTTTAGGGGGAAGATGACCATGACCTGAGGAAGACTTCAGGAGTGATACTAGATCACTTACAGCTATCACTCTAGATGTCAAGAATATAAAGTCGGTAATTCCATGCTCTCACCACACACTCAACAATTCAAACAGAAAATCCTTTTGTTGTGTTGAAACAAAACAAAACTTCTTTTGTCATTTTTCACCAACAGAAGGCTTCATCAGACATTTTACCAAGGAAACTATGTCTTGTACCTGGTGTGAACTCTAGGAACAGTTGCTCACAGGCTGCATAGTACTGCGAAACTGAAAGTAGCCTCAGCAATGTGTCTATCACACAACAGGAACTCAGATATAGGGAGTGATCAATGTATGTTCATTTAATGATCAAATCAAGTTTGACTCTTTTAAAATTAAATTCAGAAGAAATATTTAAATTGGTCAATATTTTGGTCAATATAAGTTAGACAATAAGATGAACATTTCTTACTCTACCTATTAAAATGATACTCACAAATCAAAAGTAAAAATACTACTTTGAGGTTTTCCTATTACCTTCTTACCGATACAGATAAGCTATCACCTAAGTATATAGAATGTTACATTACTCAGTATATTTTTTTTACCAATTTTATTCATCATCATTCATTTCCCAAGTTGAATCTAAGTAAGACTACAACTGGTGAGAAATTCCTATCAAATGCATCAACACCCTTGGGATCTCCATATTTGGCCAATTTCAGTCTTCTTCCTGACCTAGCCTGTCTAAGCTAGTTCTATCAATTTACCCTGATTATATGAAGTCTGAAAATTAGCCACAAAGCCCCCTGAATGTAGCTTTTGCTTAAAAAAAATGAGGCAAAAGACCATAGACTATACAGGACCTCAACATTCAATGGTTGCAAGTCAATTTTTTATAACTGGGTGTATTCAAGACATGACATTGTGGTCACTGAACACTTTCTCTGCTATCATAACGAGTTCCTGTGGGGATTCCACAGACTCACTTTTGGCACGTGAGGATTGAATTCCACAGCTCTATGAATGGCCTCTACAGCATTCATCTCTGCTGTGCTCAGCCCCCGCCGAGATGCAGCCTCGGGAGAGAATCTGAAAAGCAGAAAGACAAACACCATCCAGTTGGGACCACTGCTTGGGCATCAACCCAGAGAGTCATCTGCACATCAAGGGCCCATAAAACCACAGTGAGTCAATGGCATGAGCTCTCCAGACCTCCACTATGCAGAACCTCTGAGTGACCCCTCAGACCGAGACCAACAAAAAACCCAGCAGAAGCAGAAAGCGTGCTTGCATCTAATCACGGCAGGAATTAAATTCAGCTGTCAAGTCTCTCTGTCTAAATAGCTAATCTAAATTTTCTACAAGGTACCTGCTTAGGTCAGGGGTGGGGGTAGGGCTGTTGAGGGCAGACAGTGTAGGAAAAAGAGAAAACTAGATTACAGAAGAGCGCACTTGGTTAAAAACAGAACTGGGGAGAATTTTAAAGGAGGCTCCCAACCCAAAGTCAGTGCTGCCATGGAGGGTTAAGTCGTTGCAGCTTCAGCAGCAGGAGAGCCTGCTTGGGGCCGTTCCGGTAGGGGGGGTGTGCATGCCCAAACTGTGGGCAAGACACCTGCCCAAGTGAATGAAAAAAACCAGACCATGCAATCTCTTTCTCACCTCACACCCAGGGCTAACTCCAGAGCTGTGCTTGGCAGGCAGACACCACAGGGGAAGCTGTGACAACCCTGGCCCTGCCCTCCCAAGCTGGAGTCGCTGTGTAGGGAGAAAAGATGTTGCAGTAGGTACTGGCGATCTACAGGATAAAAAAGAATGAAAGAAAATTACTTCGGTCTCGAAGTGCACACACACTTAACAGCAAACCTGTCTGACATAGCAGAGGCTGTTTTCGTTTCCTCCTATCTGCTTTTCAAGGCTACAGAGGGATTGTATTGGGGAAGTTTAAGTGTCTATGAACTCAAAAACAGTTAAGCAATCTATCCTCTTTCACCTGCCAGTCATCTTGGCTGTTTATGAACATTCTCATGCCACAGTCACCTGCCTGAATAAATGAGCAGATGTCCCACTGAGATGGCCACTCAAAGGACTCTGGCTGGGGAGTTAATTTGGAATTGATGAGGCAAAGAAAGGGAGTTGACATTCCCTCTGCCATGTTACATGTCTTTTTTGACTACTACCCAGTCTTGGGCTGCTAGAGGAAGAAGAATATGCAAAAAAATGATTATGAGGAAGGCATTATATGTAAGTCCCAAGCAGACCTTTTGGTATCTACTGTCTGGCAAAAAAAAAAAAAAAAAAGAAAAAAGAAAAAAGTCACCTCAGAGGCAAGGAATTTCGCATAAAACTCTCTTTAGGGAAACATACACTCTTACAATACCTGGGAATATACATTCTCTCCTTCTAGTAGTGAAAGAAAGATCAGCAGATTTTGGAAAATGCATGCTCATAAGCAGGGGTTTCACAGACTAAGAGAAACTTCCAGAGAAAGTCCTCAGAGGCAACACATCTCCTTAAGTCAGGTCACGCCTTTACTATAGCACTAGTTATTACTCACTTACTTGTCAGAGACAGCTCTTGCTTTGAGCAAGGCAGCTGTGTAGCATATTGTTGCCGACTTTGGTAAGCTTATATCTGTAAGAGAAAAAGAAAGGAGGAACTCTTGTAAATTTGCAGAAATAAAGAGCAATAATTCTAAACACACTAGCATATTAATCATGTGAGCCTAATAAAACATAATAAACATAAATTAAGAATATTTTAATGAAATACAATATAGAGTTGTTCCTATGTTTCAGGGTATTATGTCAAAATAAGGGTAATTCATTTTTTTGGTGAATAGTTAATATTTAAAATCCAGTAGACTGACTTTAGCAATTGCCTATTTTAAAATATTAATTTTCACATACTGGGTTTATTTAAGCAGAGAATAGCTAATTGTATGTAAATGGGAGAATATTGTATAAATAACATTTATTTGACATCATGAAAGGCAAGAATTTGTCACATAAAATTTTTCAACATTAGCATATGAAATAATAATGTGAAGAAAAATAAACCTGGTTGATTTTTAAAATTTATTTTTAGTTGTAAATAAATGTATTAAATAAGTTATTGTTTCATGGTCAAATTTAAACCAGGTTTCCTTTGCGTTGTATTTCAGTTAAGTTCATATTCTTTTTTTTTTGTTAAAAATGTAAGATATATATTATTTACATAAATTATATGAGAAATCTTTACAGATATATATTTATTTTAAATGACATCTAGGAAATCTTTAGAAACTATGCAATTTTTGTTCATTCAAACCTATGACAAATTCCTTTACATATAAAGCCTAATTTGTTTCCCAGAAAAATAGCACCTTTCAGTTTGTACACAAATTTTCAAGTGGAGGAATAAGAGTGGTTAACATTCATATAGTGAGTTAACAATGAAATAAAAGTACTTAATAGGTAAATTTTAAGAAGGCAGTTTCTTTGAAGGGAAATTTTGTTTCTAAATTATCATTGTATTTCTTACCAGAATTGTATTTAATACTCAACAAAATTTGTACAATGGCATAGAAATTACCATCTTAATTCAGAACAAGTAAAACGGTGCTATTCCCAGGGGCTGTAAATTCACCATCTGAATACAAACTTGTTGGCAGAGCTTGCTTCAACTTAGAATTATATTACAGTTGGAAAGAAAGGAAAATCTCATAATTAGCCAAAAGACAGCAGAAGAATATAATATTAAAAGAAAACTGGGCCCTCCATGATGATGCAACAGGTTAAAGCGCAGCACTATGAAGCTATCGGATGCCACTGCAGCATGAGTTCCATTCCCAGCTAGGGAGCTGACCTACATGGCACAGCAGACTTCTCCTGACCTGCCTGCTGCTCCTCTCAGTAGTGTATTTCAGTAGATCTGCCTGTTCTGCTCCCTACTCTGTTTCTGGTGAATCCTCTTATCCCCCATCCCTCTGGCTTGTACCCTAGTTCTTGTATGCATGAATAAATAAATCTTTTTTAAAAAAAAATACCAATCTCTCATCCACTAACAAGTGTTTACCATCAATCCCAGCAGAAGTTCTCTTTGACAGAAATTTCAATTACACTGATAAACTACAAATAATCATGGAAAATACTAATACAGTATTGAAAATACTAATACAGTATTGTAACCCTGGTCTTATAAATTATATTCAAGTAAAATTTGCCACCATATACATAATACAAAATGGTATGATTATCACTAAGAAGAAAAAATAAAAAAGAAAGTTGAGAGTTCATGGATTCATTTTATTGCTTTTCCAATATCTGAACACTTAGCTGCTTCCCAGTGTGGGATTGGAGTCCAGGAATCAAATACTTTGTTGGCCAGGGTCCACTCATTGATTCTTACTGGAAGATCAAAAACTGCAGACAACACATGTCTTACTTATAAGTTCAGACCTTTCTGTTAAAGTTGAGACAGTTAATTTAAGTTTTTCCAATGCTTGTTTCCAATCTTCCTGCGGTGGTCTGTGTTCCTTCTTTGTCAACTTAGCACCTTTCTGTGATATAGGGGACCAATGTAAAGTCCTAAAATGGATCTGAGGCTACAATCAAAGGTCTTCATTGTTTCAACGTGGCAGCACAAGCTAGAGCTTTATTTGATAAATTAAAAAAAAAAAAAAAAAGCCTGTTGCTAAGAATTTAGATTCTCAATGAAAAAGATCAGATTGTATTCTGATGCTTACCTAATCAAGCATATTCACCCAGTACAAATGCAAAAAAAAAAAGCAATAACCAAGTTGTTTCAACAGAAGACTAGTGATGCCTAATCAGAGATGATCTTTAATTTGAACCATGCGCCCTTATGCCCAGACAAGACATTTACAACTAGAAAAATACAACAAAAGTCAACACTATGACTACTACGTAGTAAATTATCCCCATTTTAAAACATTTCAACTCTCTGTATTGTATGTAAAAGATTGTGGTGTGTGTGATTAAATATTTTTTTAATCAGTACCAAACAAGGAAGGGGTATAGACACTCCCTGATGACACCCCACTCCCATTCCCCATCAGTGGCATGTTCACTCCACGTGTCTTTTTACTCTAATAAATTATGGTCTCATTGCTTTTAATTTTTTTTTAATCAGGACATTTTTACATAAATTGTTTAGACATTCTTAATTTTCCTTTTTAAGTCTATCAAAACAATTTTATCTCTATTGGTCATGGCAATTTGTCTCTAAGAGGGATGAACCACTCTAAACAAACTGACACTGAATTTTCCTTCGGATAAAGGATCTTTTCATTGAAGTATGGTTTTTGCTTACAACATATCTTTTAAATAATACTTTATCATTAGCAATAATTTAAAAACTTTAACCATCAAGTGATTCCATTTCTAAGACTTTATCCTAAGCTAAGTAATCACACCTATGTATGAAAATTTAGCTCAAGGATGCTGATGAGGGAAAAACAAAAGTAGCCTAACAGTCCAATTGTAAGAGAACTGGATAAGGTGTTGGACATTTTCCAGGTGCAATGCAATGTACTCATTAAATCATGTGGTAGAAAAGTAGTGACCTGGAGAAATGTTGTATTGTTGAGTACAAATCAATAAGTAAAATAGATTTTTTTTATGATTCCATATATTTTTAAAAGCACTTATATATATACAGAGATAAGAAGACAAGAATTATGTATAATAATAGCAATAGTGTTTATTTCTGGGTGGTAGGATTCTGGGCAATTTTTCCTATTCTTCATGTGTATTTTCAAAGCCTCCTGTTATGTACATGTAACTAAGTGAATTTTTAAAGGGTAGCAATTATGTTATATGGAAGAATTCTGCCCTATACATAGTCTGAAGCAAGTTCATAGGTAAAAACGAGTTTGGTAAAACTAGACACAAACAGTATTGACAGACAGAATTAGAAACTATATGAAGTGCTATCAGCCTACATAGCTACCAGATCAAAAACTGAGACTTAAACAACATGGGTTTGAATGGCACTGGTCTATACAGACGGAGGTTGTTTTTCTACCCACCAGTTCCATGTTCACAGATTCAACCAATGGCAGATGCTCGTTGTTAAATCTGTGGATGCAAAACCTATGTATATTAAGGCACTAGAGCATTCCATGGAGGTGGGGAATGGGGTGGGGTGGTGGAGATCCAATCCCTCAAGAAAACAAAGAGATAACTATAGTTTAGTGAATTTTAGGGAAGTAAAAAGTCATATGTAGATTTTCCTCTTGGTATGAGGGGCTTGACCTCTCTAAACTCCCAGTTGTTCAAGGGTCAACTATATTTACACATCTTTATGAAAATTAATTCCTATAGCAATATGCCTGGTATAGGGCAGTCACTCCAGTAATCTTAGCTTAATAACTTTCTAACATCTAAATCAAAGACAAGAGCTACAATACTTACTTTTACAAAAAAAAGAAATATATATATATATATACCCCAACTTTATATATATATATACACACACACCCCATCTTTTAAAGAAAATAACTTATTATGGGCTATTTGCTCCATGAGCATACTTCTTCCATTTCCTAAAAGAAAGGAAGGGGAGGAATGAGGCATGATTTTTGCTGCTTATTACAATTATAAAGTATTTATAGGTTCACAAGAAATTGTAAAAATAGTACATAAACTTGTGTGAATGCTTCCTTTAGTTCCTCCTAATAGTGATATCTTAAATAAGTGTACTGCAATATCAAGAAATTGACAATGCTATAGTACTACCACTACCATCAAAAACACAACTTTTTATCACTACAGATGAACACTTTTGCTCTAACACCTTATACTTGTATATTCCCCACTCAAATCTGACCCCTATGAGCACTAATCTGTTCTCCATCTCTATAGTTTTGCCTAACAATGATTTTATGCTTTTATTACTATGAATGAAATAAATAAAATGACAAGTGGAACAAAGTGGATAACAGTGTGGATGAACACAGTAGTATCAGAAGTTCTGAATAGGAAATAACAAATTAGCTGCTTTCCAAACTGCTTGTAATTTATTCTGAAATTTTACTTTGAGGGACTTTCAAAATCATTCTAAGTTTCATTTTGCACAAGCAAAATCTAACTATAAAGTACTTTTTTGTCTTTTGTAAGTGGCAATTAGCTAGTTTATTACCAGAAAGTCTCCTTAAGAACTAGAATCCAAGGAGGAAATAAAAGGCAGTAACGAGACATCACATCATTCCATTACTCATTGCAGAAACAGGGAATACTAAAAAAACTTAAGCAAAATGGAACTGCTGGTGTTAGTTTAATTTTCCTTCTAATTCTTTGCCATCTTTTATTTCATACAGGTTCTTTTCTGGGAAGAAAAAGTTCGTGGGAAGGACTTTCCCAAGCATCTTACACATGCAAAATCAAATTGCCATGAAAATCCTTTATTAAAATGTCCAATCTTAAAGCTGGCACTCATGGAACCATAAAGTATATGGTTTATTTCACTCAGCATAACCTTTCTCAGATTTATCCACATTGTAGCACAACTTAATGATTTATTCTTTTCTATTGCTGAGTAGTATTTCATTGTGTGGATATAGCACAATATGTTACTTGCTAATGGCTATTTAAATTGTTTTCCAGTTTGGGGTGATTATAAAGTTGTTACCA